AAGGGCCGCTTCCGAGACAACGGGATCAGCGTTCTCAAGCGCTCCTCAGATCTGAAACGACGCTCGGCGAAGCGGACTGAGGTGCCATGATCACCGCGAGGGCTCTCATCAAATTTCGGCTGAGGCTCCCCCACCCGGGCTGATTGTGGTGGCCGAGAAACCAGTGCCCATTTCGGCTAAAACGCCAGCACCATCATCTCAGCCACACAAGACCACTAGCAAAGGAAGCTCCCAGAAATCACAAAGGGAATCAGACCCTCAACTTCCCCTGTCCCTAAAGATCACACCACCACCTGATACAATAACAAAAGAGGAAGAACCCCCCCCCAAAAACACCCCCCAACCGATCCCCCCACCGCGCCGTCAGCGCCTTGCCCGTGTACTCGGTCGCCAGCTGGTTGACGCCCCAGAAGCCGCCCGAGGCGAGCACGACGTTTTGGACCAGGGACTTGGCGCGGCCGCCGCCGCGGGTGGGAAGAAGGAGTGCGATGGGGCAGAGGATGGTGAGGGCGATGGCGCTGGTGTGGAGGAGGGGGTTGCGTTCTGGTGGTGGGGGTTGGTCTGTTTGTGAGGGGGGGGTTGGAGGGGTGGTTGTTGGTGGTGGTTGTTGGGAGGGCATTTTGGTAGGGGTTGGAGTGGCCGATTGTTTGGTTTGGGTTGCTGGAGGTGATCGATTGGTGGTAATGGGGTGGTCGTGGGTGTGGTTTGTCTGTTTGAGCTTGGTGATGAGGTCAATGGGTTGACTTGATGGGAAAAATGTTGCAGGGGTTGATGGACTGCGGTTCAAGGTTGTTATCGATAAGGTTAAGCTGCTGATCGCGGGTGATCTTGGCACGAAGCATCAACCCCAACCCCAACAAAGCTATTGGAGACCAAAGTCTGCTTTATTTCACTCGATTTATTTTATTTTTACCTCTTCCATTTCTTCGTTTTCTTTCCTTCTATGCATTGGAGTGAGTTGTGATATCTTACAGCGAGCATGTCGACCCGGAGGAGTGGGCTCGGGCAGGGCGCCATCAACTTCCTCCACCCAGGGTACAATGAACCAATTAACCTCCTCTTTTCGCATGCCACGAGTCGACCATGTTCTCTCGGTAGACGGCGAGCTGCAATTTGGCGTTGATCACCAAACTGCGCTAGCTGCTTGCCAAATCGTGGCCAACAACGCGTTTGATGGCTTCCTGGCCCTCGACAAGGCCGGCGCACAGCCAGTCAACGCACCGGTCTCATCCGACATCATCCTTACGGCCAGCGAATACTATTTTATCGTCCCGAGCAGCCCAGTAGGCAAGCCAACTTTTCCCTGTGCGCTCCCGCGCCTTTACTGACGGCTTGGCACACAATACAGACAGGTACCCCATCGTCCCATCCTTCCACGACTGGCAGTTCCGGCACAACCGTATCCCTGACTTCTGGCCGCGGCGGCGCCAACCCTTGCTTTCCCCATCGCCTTCCCGGCTGCTCTGTGCCGTAACGGGATGTACCTGGGCCGTACAGCGCACGCATCTTGTCCCGAGTAACGAGCGGGCTTGGTTTGTACGTAACGGAATGAGCAGAAATGGCGTCAATGCGGTTGTCGATATCGACGATCCGGCCAACTGTATCGCACTGAGGTCTGACATCTCTATATGCTTGGATGCATGTGCCTTTGTACTCGTGCCCAAGGTTCCTGAGGCTCTGCCAGCTACGGGAGCCAACCCGGGTCATAACTCCGTGCTCTCCGCTACCGATGGCACGCAGCAGAAGCAACAACAACAGCAGCACCAGCAGTACCAGTACGCGGTAAACATACTCTCCGGGGCGGACACCATGTTCTCGGGCGTTCACTATGACATTCGCCTGCCCCACTCCCGGCTCGCCAACTGTTCACGTGAGTTCCTCTACCCACGCTTCGCTCTCAATATCTTTATAGCCGTCAAGGCGTTCGTGACGGCCGGCCAGCGTCGGCGGGTGGCCCGTTTTATGGTTGTCGATGAGGGCCACGGGCCGGAGCTCGTGGAGGAGGATATTGATGGGCTGGCCTTGTTTGCCCTCTACGGGGCCGGGAAGTCTCGAAGCGCGAGGCCCGCAGAGCGTACCGGGGAGGGAGGGAGTCACAGCCATGGCGGCCAGCAAGATGTGGATGAGGAGGGTTATTTCACCTCGGAAGACGAAGAAGCTGACGATACCGTATGGGAAAGGCACGTACGTGATATTGAAGAAGAGCAGCGCGGCCGGTCGCGTAAAAGGGCGAGGCGGGCCTGAACTCACTCTAATCGTTCCCATTATCAATGGTTCACAACGAGCTGGAAAACCAAAACCAAAACCAGTCCGTTCAGGTTTGACGCAACGACTCGGCGGTGCGTCTTAGTGCCCCTAGCTCCTAACACTTTGAAGCTAGCTGTGTATGGCTTTGAAGGCCCTAATGTCTTGTGGCACTTTCCAAAAGGTGCCTTTCCAAAACACTCTATACTTGATACATCATCAAATTAACTCTCACGGTAGGTCGACCCCTCGCCGGACGGCCCGTCACCCTCGGGGCCGAAAGAAAAGCCGAGCTCGAAAGGAAAGCAAAAAATCAAGAACAAAAAAAGAAGTAAAGGACAAAAATTGGTTCGACTGCCTCTTCCATTTGGCCCAGCTGACTGCCCCTTGATGCTCCTTGGGCAGTGCTGTGAGGCGCAGGACGTCAGAATAAGGTAACGATTATCCACCGGCCCAATTCCACGGGCTCGCGGCTAAGCTGGATCGAGTCTAGCGAACTGTAGTCAGTGATCAAGGAAACCAATCATACACTTGCCTAAAGAGGGGAAAGCTTGTTCTGACTTGGCACTGTTGCATTGTGTTTCCTTTTCCTCTCACGGTTACATCTTTAGTCCTCTGATCGTCACTGTCACGGGCGGGGTAGGAATCAGGGGTCTAGCCTCGCTGACAACCCTGATGTTAGAGATGCCGCAAGATCTTTAGATAGTTACATGTAGGCTGTAAATTCCCGGGTGCTCTCCAAAGACCATAAAAGTAGGTCTGGCATTCGAAGGACTAAGTCGAGCATACCAGACCCTAGCACGACAACGGTAGGAGAAGTAAACTGAATGGGTAAGGTGGAAGCCCCGACAACTCCTTCCAATGAAACGTTTAGACGGTGCCATGGACGAAGCGGGCGGGGTTGCTGCCTTACCTTAGTACTGGAGATCAGCTCCCAAGTTGTCCTGATTCAACAGAAAGGTGCCGGTAGGGCAATCAGCAGGGGTCGAGCATCGTGTTTGCCCTTTTTGTATGCACACACAGCACCTCTGAAGGAACGAGTTGTGCAACGAGCCAACGACCGGCAGGGACGCATTTCCATATGGACGATGTGCATTGGCTGGAAGGGAAACAGAGAGACAGACATTCTCAGTCAGAACGGACAAACCTCTTCCCGTGACAGCACCAACTGGCATCATTCGCATAGCAAAGGGGGTTTACAGAATGGCTGTCCTCGAGCCCACCAACGAGCAAGAATCCCGAAATACGCGGCGCTCAGCTTTAGGAGCAGAGCTGAATGGGATGTACGCCCCTCCCCTCCCCCGCTTATGGCACCGATCATGGCACTGTCGATCTGGACAACGATCGACTCACTACCCGGACTGGTCCTTGACCAGCATGATGCCAACCCTCAGCATTTTTCCCCGTATTAGTCGTTCCCCTAGCTAACCTCCAGCCCCCAAAAACATAAATCCACCAGCTGCCCCCCAGCCCACCTCTCGATCCCACATCACACCACATCCCCAACCAAAACCAACAACCACCACCAACTCACAACCCACCCCATACCCCCCCAACCAACCCACAAACATGAAAACCTCCCTCCTCCAAACCTGGACCCTCCTCGCCCTAGTCACATCAGTGCACGGCCTCTGCGACGGCACGCCCGACGACACGTGGCGGCACCTGAACTCATGCAGCTATCCCAACGACCCGGACTGCAACACGCGTTGCCAGGCCGCAGGGTTTGGCTGTGGTGGCTGTGGCGGGTTTCTTTATGGCGAGTGTTGGTGTTGTAGTAATGATTGCAGGTGATTTGGTAGCTCGTCTTGTTTGGGATGTGGGTGTGGGATGGATGGTATGTATGGTTGGTTCTTGGTCAGGGGTTTGGTGGGAGTAGTGGGGGTTGTTTGATTGTTTGGCTGGGTGCTGACTGGCTTTGGTTTAGGTAGATGCTGAGCTGAGACGGTCACTACGGCTTTGAATTGAATTCGTTGAGTTGAGAAGATATGAACATATCAAGTCAAGGCTTGGGGGGGGGGTAGAAGCTAGGCAGGTCGGGGAACATCAATGCGATGGTACACACGGGGGTTGTTGGATCTGGGTCCGTATCATGTAGCTCACAAAATGCTTCAAACTCACGGTCCTACAAGCTGGGCACCTAGTATTGCATATATGGTGAAGTCGTCTAGCTATGTTGGTTGCTGTATTGTGCCTGTGTCTTGTAGACCTACCGACTAGGAACCCTGACATGTCGTAGTTACAGCACACGCCTCGCCATAATAGTAAGATATTTGAAAGAGGCGCATTGTGAGATATCAGACTCGGAGGAGAAATGAACTCGTTGAAGTGGGGTTTGAATATTCGCCAAAGTTGGCTTGCTATTCCGACCGATATTCATAGGCAAATCCTTCACATCAACCACCCACGCATGCTTATGAGTACCAATCACGCCAATACCATATGCGCTTTCAATTCAACTGCAAATCATCTAGAAATATCCGGGGTATACGTCACAAAATCGACGCCAACATCTCTCCACTCTGTAGTTCCCCACACGCCGGTCGTAACGATAGCCGTGCGCTAAACAATGCCGTCCTGAACCAACCAAGCTCATACATCGGTACCCATTATTACGATCCCTTCAGCTGCTGTGCAAAATCCGCATCACAGTTTACTCTTACCATCTCCGCAACATCAGAAAAGTCATACCTTCGTCTTCGCAAAGGCCTCATTCGCCAGCCTCACCCCCGAGTCGCGCGTCGCCCTCGCCTCGGCCAGCGCGCCCTGCATCTCGAACGACTGCGCCAGCATGCCATCGGCGACGCTCATCCACAGCACGTTGCCGCTCTTCCTCGCCTGTGCCGAGCCGGCTCGGGCGCTCTTGAGCGCCTGCTCGCCGACGACGTTCTCGAACAACCTCGCCCGCATGATGTTGAGCGCGATCGCCAGGTACTGCGTGTTGCACGTCTGCTGGGCGCCGCTCAGCGACTGTTGGATGTGTCGCTTGATCTGGTTGATGGACAGTGGCGGGTTCAAGCGGACAGACGATAGGGCGAGGTTGTAGACGGTGCGGATCTCCTGGTCCGGGTTGTCCTCGCAGATCGGACGGAGCAGATCGACGAGCTCGGCCATCTCGGCGTCGTCGGTTTGCGCTGGTTCTTGCATAATCCAGAGCCGGTTGATGGCGGCCAGGATAGAAAGTTCCGTTGTGATGCGGCTGCCGGTGGCCTTGGGCGCGCCGCTCCAATCCATTTCGAATCTCTTATCTTTCCATATCGCTGTGGCTTTTTCAAGGGCCGCCGTGCCCTGGTGAAAGACGCCTTCGAGATAAAGGGCCAAGACAGTCAAGAACTCCGACTGGGATTCGTTCTGTTTAACCGTGTCCAAACACATTTTGACTTTTGCCCAGTCGGACAGAGTCGACGCCTGGAGTCCGGTAAGCATATGCGCGTAACAGGAGAGCTCCCTCGTCCACTCTGCCTGCTTTAGCGCTTCTGGGAGACTCTGTGATGATGGCACAGGCTTGTTTTCTGGGTGCCAGGTTAGATGGAGCGTGCGAAAACAGGAGCTTCAATCTCACCTTCCAATAACCTTACTGCCTCCCCCCACATGCTTGAGCTACGGCCGGGCGTCGAGGCCTTGTAGTGTGCCACAATGCCATTGAACACATACCTGGAAGGCTGTTAGAAGGTTACATTGAGGCACGCAGAAACAGAGCTTACGCCAGTGCCCAGGCTTCTTGTTTCCCCAGCGTTGATAGTACCAAATAGTCGACACCATCCTCGCCAGGACGCAGAACCGCACTTGTGTCAGCGCTGACGATTTGCTGCGCGTTCTGCATCCGGTTGACAGGCAACATCATCTCGCCGGACTGGGAAGGCCAATCTTGTGACTGCTTCAATTCCTCTAGTCTCTTCTGAAGCGCCGTGAGCTTTTGTGCTGATATTTGATGTGTTTTCTGGTGTAGGCTACACGCCAAATCTAACAAGAGCAATAAGACATCGGTTTGGGGGGTGCGAATCGACTCGTCCAGTTGCAACTTGGATACCTGGGCGATGCACATCTGCACGCGGGTCGCCCAGTCGTCCTTCGTGGTGCTGAGGTGAGCAAGGCCCTCGAGCAGCATGGCCATGACGAAGATGCCCTTGTCGCTGCGCTGATTCGCAATACCGGCGATCTTGCGCAGGTTCTCTATCGCATGGTTGTCGGCGGCTGTGCCAGACTGGAGGTGGAAGGCGGCTTTGAGAAAACGGAAGGCATAGATCCAGGGGACATGTTTATAACTAGTGAACGTCAATAAAATTCTGCGAGTGTCGAACAGACAAGCATACGTTGTACAATCGGCAATATGGCTGTCGATGGACTTGAAAGCCGCCTTTTGGTTCCGCTGGAAGAGTGTCTTCATCAGGAGAAATTGCGAGCTGTATTTGAGGTCGAGGAACCGATGCTAGGGCGGCGGACGGTTGTTAGCTGGCGTTCTTTTTTCTGGCGAGCGATATCCCATACCTTCTCGCACACCGAAATGCCTCTCGTCAGAGCTGTTTCGGCCTCCGTAATATTGGTGGTCTCCTCGATGAGTATGCTGGTGTAGCGCAAACATAACCTAGCCTCGAGCCGCGGCCACAACTTGTTCGACTTCAGCGCGACGTCCAAGCATCCTAGCCCCGTGGCTACCAGCTTGTGATGTTCCGCAACTTCACTGGGGCTCATGGTCTTAGCGACTTGCTGGGCAGCCGCGTTGGCTTTCTCGAAGCAGTCCTCCGCCACAGACAGCAGAAGTGGGAGTGTTTCGGTGTGGGTAGATGCGTGCGGGGTGATGGGTGATTTCGCGACTCCGGCGCTCGAGCTTGGCCGCCTCGGGTCTCGCGTGAGCAGTTTCGGCGTTCCGCGTGAGGGCGGCCGTTTCTCTTCCAGTTTTGGGCTCGCCTTGACGGGCATCGGTTTCGGCGGGTTTGGCTGGACGGCGCGGGGCAATTGGGGGCTCATCGTCGACGGCGTGTGTGGTTGCGACGCCGGGAAGGCATTGTTGGGCGGTCTTGGCGTAGGTGAGTGCTGGAGATAGGATGGGTTGACAAACTGAATGGATGTTGGCATCGGCGTGGACACGGGTAGAGGTTGAGGAAGCGGCGCGGCCTGGGGAGCGGGCGCGAAAGCGGGAGCGGGTTGGTGGTGAAAGGTGCCATTGTAGTTTGAATACTGCTGCTGCTGCTGCTGCTGCTGCGGCAGCGGCGGCGGCGCATTGTTGGGATAAAACTGCACCGGCTGCTGTTGTTGCTGGGTGTATGAAGGATGGACATATTGCAGGTGCTGTTGCTGGTGCTGTTGCTGTTGCTGGTGTTGGAGCTGGTGTTGATGTTGATGTTGGTATTGCTGGTTTCCATTGGGATATGGATTCGCGAACTGCGGGTGTGGTAACAGTGGTGGGGGTGCTTGCAGGCCAGCGTGCAGCGGCGCGAGGTGTTGGTGTTGGTGTTGGTGCTGTAATTGCTGCGCTTGCGGGTGCACATGCTGGAATTGGTGGTGTTGCTGCTGCTGGCCCTGGCTGCCGTATGCCTCGCCGGGAGGCATCCTGTCGGAGGGGCCGAGCGATATCCCGTATTTGTCGGAACGGCCCAGTCGCAAATGGGATGAGAGGTATAAAGGAAGTTCGGTCGAGGATTTTCGCGGGTTAAATTATTAGGTTATCACGTTGGCACGCGCCGCAGCGGCACAATCAGCCTGCATGCAGCCTGGGGAAAGCGCCATGCCACTCCCACGAGTCCGCCCATTCGTCGTCGCTCCCTGTCGCTGATGGAGAGCAAGATCTGGTCTGTGCGCTTACCAAGGCACAGGGGGAGTTTCAGTTTCAACGGACTCGGACGGTCGTTCTCAAAAGCCGGCCGTCGGCGGACCGGCGTTGGTGCCACCGATAACATTGGTGCTCCACAGGTTCCGATGCCTCGGCAGGCGCAATTTCCTCATTGATCAATTCAAGACTTTCCATGTTCTAGAACTTGTACCAGGGACTTTTTTCTTCCTTCTACTTACAAGTAGGATTCCCCGTGTCTCGGATATTCAGCGCGGCGTTGCATCTTTCCAGCTTTTGTTCACACTGATTTCCAGCTGCATCGCCTTTCTTTTTGTCCTTTTGTCCACATTCGTTTTGTTGACATTGAGACCGCTTTCTCCTTGATCCTTTAGGTTTCTACGCAGTAACACGGAGAAACAAAACAGCAATAAAAAAGAAAGTATCCACCGGCGCCGCCTTGGCTCTCATTGGCATTATCACCAAACTTGAAATCCGGTCCATCCTCCTGCCGGGTTGTGAAGCAAGCCATAAATACCTGTTCGCCCTCCCTCCGGTATATTCCTTAGATCCCAAACCTCGTCGACACCCTGTCTTCTCTTGTTTCATCCCGGGCCAGCAGACGACTGCTCAGCGCCATGGACTGGTTTGGCCGTGCGAAGATCGCTTTCACCCACTCGCCTTCGCCGTTGGCCCTGCAAAGGAAAGATGGCACCGCGACGGACTTGCTGAAGGTCTGCGAAGCCAGCACTCCGACCTGCCAGCTTAACCCCCTGCTCTTCAACGGTCACCTTCAGACCATGTGGACTGCTGTTAAGGAGCACGGCCCACCGATCTATTACCGTAGGAAGATATTTGACGCCGACCACAAGACGTACACCGGCACTTTCACGGTCGACTTTGCGGTAGACCCGCACGCGGATGTGGACGAGGCGCTGCCGCCGAGGACTGCCTTCTTTTCGGAGGATGACTTTGCCAAGATCGGCTCCGACGATAGCAGGCCTATGCTTATTGTGCTGCACGGCCTTTCTGGCGGCTCTCACGAGATCTACCTACGGCATGCCATTGCGCCTCTGGTCATGAACGGCGGGAACTGGGATGTCTGCGTCGTGAACGCCCGCGGGTGCGCCAACAGCAAGGTGACGAGCGGTCTCCTCTTCAACGCAAGGGCTACCTGGGACGTTCGGCAGTTTGTGAAATGGGCAAAGCAAACCTTCCCCAACCGGCCGCTCTTCGGCCTCGGGTTTTCTCTGGGCGCCAACATCCTGACCAACGTAAGGCCGTTGATTTGACAGTCATTGAGTTCCTGCTAATGGTTCTTGATAGTATGTGGGCGAGGAAGGGGCGAATTGTCTCCTGAAAGGGGCCATCTCTGTGGCCAACCCCTTCGACTTGGAGATTGCGAACAAGGCTCTTCAGCGGACACTGCTGGGGAAGCAGGTGTACTCGCGGGTCATGGGGAGTAAGTCTGGTTCAGGGGGTTTAGTTGGCGTCCCGTCTCTGACAAACGAGCAGCCAGCATGAAGAAACTCATCGAATCCCACAAGGACACCATCCTAAAACACACAAATCTAGATTACGATCGGATTCAGAACGTGACGTACCTGCACGAGTTCGATCGCGAAGTCCAGTAAGTCTACCTACAGGATGTGTCGAAGGTGGTCACTGACAATCTGGCCTAGGACCGTAACATGGGGCTACCCCACCGAGAATGCTTACTACCGCGACGCATCATCGACAGACGCGATTCTCGCCATCAGGATCCCGTTTCTTGCCATCTCCGCCTTGGATGACCCGGTACGTACCGCCGCAACTAGAATTGGTTCACCTCACTTATATCCCATCCATAGATCGCGGTATACGATGCCATCCCCTTCCAGGAGTTCGCCCACAACCCGTACACAGTGCTTGCTACGACCTCACTCGGCGGGCATATCTCATGGTTCAAGATTGGCGGTGGGAGATGGCATGCTCGGCCGGTAGGTGCTGCCATTCCATTTGACCGCGCAGTCTAGCTGATTCGAACAGATTTGCGAGTTCCTGAACCGCATGGTCACCGAGATCGACCTCGACGCCATTAACCCCAACGCCAACGGAGCACACTCCAAAACTCAGTTTGTCACTGAGTTCGACCCGGTAAGGCGGAAGTTGCAAATTCTCAGCAATTGAAGATGAGACGGAGATATTTGGTGTAATGTAGCGCCGGTGTTTGGGATAGATTTGGCCAGGATCTCATAGAATAGCGTGTCGACCATAAAAGGATCAAATTTAGATGTGCACTCGCAGCAGACTCTCTAGGAAGTGAACGATGAATTAGATATATACACGGAGTGACACACTGCCATGCTGGCTATACAATAATAACATGTT